AAAAAAAAACAGAACTCCTGATTTCTTTAATTAAAGTAGATACAACAATCACAATCACAAACACACAATCTTCCTACAAATATAAATTACATTATGAAGGTCTTTTTATAACAAAACACCAGCGAACTTGCATGTATGATTTGAAGAAGAATATTTGATTATGAAGAAATATTTGCACACCCGTGTATCAAATCTATATTCACACATTTTATATTTGCCAATATAAAATTATACGTTTGCATTTCTGTTTTTATAAATCAGGCTATCAAAACAAGCCCATATGGCTGGGATGAATTTAAAAAAGCTTCAACGATGGCACATTCTGGCATGCTTAAAGCAGCAACATCCTGACAATCCCACCAGAGGGACTCTGCTGCTGACACAATGTACTGGGCTGTATGATGCTGCTGCTGCTAGAACTTAATAAACAGATGACAGACACGAGGAAAGAGCAAGGGGACATGAAGAAAAGTAAAGAAAATGAGGACATGGTTTATCTTAAAAAGATACATATATTTCTGTAATAGCGAGGTTAAAGGTCTGAGTGCAAAAAGAGAGTCTCTCCACCCTCTCGTCCATTCTGCTGACCCTCTAATGCTCTAATGTCTAGAAAGTGCCGTTCTGCTGTCTTCCACACACTACCATACAGAGCATGCTTTGTCACATTAAAAAGGTCTGTTATGTAGCTGATAGCAGAGACTGTCACGGTCTTGGTGAGAGGCAGCACCACAGCAACACTTTCTCCTGAGAACATGGTAGATGGCTGTGACCTCGCTGTGGATGAGACGATCACCTCTGTCAAGTCTATTTACATCATATGAGTATAACATGGATCCCCACCAAGGGGATGCTGGTAGCCTTACAGTTTCAGGACTACATCATGTAACAGCAATATACTGAGTTCAAGTATGACCTTTGTCCAGTGGAACGCCCACCAAGAAACAAGAAGCCCATTAAATGCTTAGTAGAGCTGACGTTGACGCCCAAAAACAATGCTCCAATTACAATGTTTTCAAAATGACTTTTATTAAATACAATGTGAACAAGTTCTTCAGTCGGTCCACCACTTTAGTCTAGACTGAAATATCTCAACAACTACTGGGTGGATTGCTTCTAATAACATCCATTGTTGGTGATCCCCTGACTTTTCATCTAGCACCATAATGAAGTTGACGTTTATGTTTTTTTTTAATGAAATGTCACCACAACTATTAAATAGATTGTCATGAAATGTGGTTTATTCAGCCACGCCCGTCTCAGGATAAACTGTAAAAACTCTGTTGTTTCTCTGACTTATTATCTAGCGCCACCATCAGGTCAAAATTGTACTTTGTCTAATAGTTATGACTAAATACTAGAAAAACTACAAACATTTTTATCAGCCTCAGCTGTACTTTGAGTTTAGTGCTAATCGGCAAATGTTAGCATGCTGAAACGCTAAACTATGATCGTGAACATGGTTATATTAACACAACTTTACACTTGATAAACTTTTTGGAATTTGTTGTCACTTAATGGGCAACATATCACTTCCTTTCACATCACTATAATGGCCACACAATCACAGAGGAATTTGTTTTGTGCAACCTTGTAAAACACTTATAAACTCATAAAACACAGCGCATTGTGTAAGGAGCATTGTCTATACAGCAAAGCTGATAAAGTTGGTATAGTTGCATATTTTATAAACTAAAATTGACTTTGCCATGTCAATATACAGGTCAGCTCCAATCAACACACTAAGATTACAAACATATGCACAAAAGATCAGATGTATTTTGTGCAAAGGGGAGAAAGAGAAGGGATGAAAACAATCTCTCACCATATTTGTATTCCTCTGCATCCATTGTCACCCAAAGGTAACCAAAGTTCAGCCAGGAAGAAGCAGCACACACAGGCCACTCAGCTCTAGCCTCCGAGGTAATGTGTGAACATGTTGAATAGGCTTTCAGAGAGACACAACTATCTGGTCATTAAAGGGAAAAACAAAACAGTCCAGCCTGAGGTCAACACAGAAGCCCTACAGCAACAGTAAAACCTAAAGGGAACATGGATCAGAATCCACCCATAAGCAGCCCAGAGAAGGAATCAAATTACACTGAATTTCAATAAAGTCACTGCAGAGAAACGGAGGTAAAGAAGAGGAAAAAGCTGACGATGTAAAGTCAGAAAATTGACTGGAGAGTGCGTCGATAGACAGGCATCTGCAGTGTAAAAGAAAGCAAGAGAGAGTAAAAAGATGTGAGTGGGAAAGAGCAACTTCAGAGAGAGTCTGGAAAGGATAATGAAATAAGCCCTAAATTGATAGAGTGTGACTATGGCAGAGCAGCTTTAAACAGATAAGTTAGTTGGCTAATTTGTGTAGTCTTGAACTTCCTCCCACGAGGCAACAATAATCCTTCCCCGAATCACATTTCATAAGATATATTTATTAATAGGAGTTCAAAATGAGTCATCAAAAATATGTTGAAGGAGAAAAAAAGAGGAATCTTTATATAAAAACACTTAAGAAAGATATTTGAACATATATTTATCATATAATAAGAGAAAAGAACAATTGACACAGAAAAGGACACAGAATAAGAACTTGGAAAATGTATTTTTAATTTCACTGTCTTAAAGAGAATCGGAAAATTGCTTCTGTAGATACTAAAATAGTTTAAAATAACTGACTGACTACCATCTGCCATGAAGTTTTTTAAGTTAGTTAGTTCAAGCACCAAGTTTCCTCAATTTTGAATCAGTATTAACAGGAAGTTGTGTATCACACACGAACAAACAACTAGTTCCGGTGGGCATTTCATGAACCACGGAAGGGTTTGTTGAGATTGTGCAAAGTGAAAGGACCTCGATTAAAAGCAAAATGCGTCCTGCCCTCAAGTTTCTTTAAAATCTGGACCCTCCACAAAAACATGAGACTATTTTCTGTTCAAGTTGGAAAACCAAGGTTACTGAATGGCACCCACTGTCCGAGCAGCAGAAAACTCAACCCCAGTGCTCTGCACCACGTCCACATTTGAGTGTGAAATTACAGAGCAGGGTCTGGATAATATTAGGATAAAAGCAGGATACTGTTGGTCTTTTGACATTTCAGAGGTGTTGTAAGTGAAAATGAGAAGCTCGTGGGGCACTATGACCGAATAAGCATTGAACACATTTAAATGAGTTCTTGGGACATTTAAAAGTAAACTAAAATATATGGGAGAGTAGAGACACTTGCAGCACTGCAGTGAGGTCTTGCTCTTATTATTCACCCTCATTCTGCCAATGAGTTCAGCAGCTCTTAGCGTCGCCACTTAAAAATAAACTGTCACATGTACCAGGGCATATTTGTTTAGAAGAGACTCCACTTACAACACGTCCTCTGCAAAACTAATTCTCTTTCCAAAACCTCACTGAAACAAGGAGTGAGCTGCAAGAACACACATTTGGCCAGTGGCTCTACAGTATAGACACCCTTTTAAGGACAACAGGAAATGAGGACACAAAGCTTTCCGCAACCTGACGCTTCCACAAGTATGTCAGAAATGCCCTTTCTGCAATGTCCTTTCCTACACTGAGCCAGATCCATATAGCATCAATAAAATGTCAAGCATTACCAGACAAGTTTGAATACTGGATAATAAAACCCTTTAAGATGCCTAAACATATCAACTGTATATCACTCAGACCTGGAATAAAAAGTTAAGACTTGGTTTTACACTAAACCTGATTCAATAAATAGCCAATCTATTCTGTCTGTGCATCAGAGTCATTGCTTAGCTCGCCCCCTCACATTTCCAACCCCTTCCTTCCCAACAACAGATGTGGATGGATGGCTCTCCGTAGCAAAGTCGACACCACGAGGCAAGGCCAGGAGCCCATTACCACGCAAGTCATGCCTCAAGGGCGGACTACCTCCCCCATCCCCCACAGCCTACCACCTCGGAGAACACCCTGCATCGACACAAATGCAAGTCTGTTTCCAGTTCCCACCGTGTCTCCCCACTGAACCCTCCTCTCCTCAGGGGAAGAGGAGAAAATTTAAGTAAATATCTGCGTCTGAGGCGAGCTGGGACACAAGTTTACAGGTCACAGCCCATCAAATCACAACATTTCAACACATAAACACACATCCATCTTCTTCCTCAGCATGAGCACAGCTTCT